GGAATTCCCACAGCTGGAATTGGGGTGTAGGGTGGGCAGGGAATTCCCACAGCTGGAATTGGGGTGTAGGGTGGGCAGGAGCACCCACAGTGGGTGGGTGAGAGGGATGTGGGGTGTCGTAGAGGGTGTAGAACTCACGTGCATGGTGGTGATGTGTAGGACAGTAGAGGTTCCCATGGGTGTCGGTGTCTTTCTTGTAACCACATGTAATCCATTTTTAAAGAAGAAAAGGTGTTTTTTCATACTCGGGGTCGGGGTTTATTTTCATTTAGGCTGGACCAGCCCTTTTGGGGGCAGCTGGGGTTGGTCCTTGGGGGTTTCCCTGGGAGGTTGTTGGTTCCAAGTCCAGCCGTGCTGCTGCTCCTGCTCCGTGTGCGTGGCACCGCTCCAAAAAAAAAAAAAAAACTTGCCAAAAAAAAAAAAAAAAAAAAAGAAAAAGAAAAAAAGGAATTTAATTGTAAAAATGCTGGAAATGATCTTGATGACCTCTTTCTTTTTTTCCTTTGTAAAGCTGTAAATACTTTATTTTTGTTTTCTATTCTTAATGCGGTGTCATATTGACACTTTTTTAGATTTACAGTCAGAAAATCCTCCTCATTGTTTCTCATTTTTTAAAAGGGGATTTCAAGGAAGCAAATTTTTTTGCTCGCTAGCGGTGTAATAATAGATCAAATTCCTAAACTGGGTTTGTACAAAAATGTTTTCAGTAAACAAATGGCAGTTTGTGGATGCATGTTGTTCAAAAATGTCCAAAGAATAACGTGGTACAAATGTTTTAAAGAATAATGTGGTACAAACATTTTTTTCAAAGACTTAGTGATTATCGTCTTAGTTCACACAAGGAAAAAAGAAAAATTATTTAAAAAATTGTTTGGGGGGGAATGTAATGAAACTCATCTAAGCTAAATGTGTAATCTATTTATAAAAACACAGTATATATTCTATTTTTATCAGAGGTTTTTAAAGTGCAAACAGATTTCTGTTGGCAGATGCAATCGTTCCCTTGTAAAGTCTCTTCTGCTCTACAGGACCCCCAAATTCTCTGATGGTTCCAAGAGTCAACGTGGAAATAACCAGGACAGGTTTGGCTGTGGAGCACTCACAGGTGGCTTCCTCCAGGGGAGCTGCAGGTTCAGCATCTCTTCTGCCTCTGCAGGATTGTTGCTGTGATTTTATTCCCTTCCCTGTGATTTTATTCCCTTTCCCCGACTGGGAGGATACTCCTGGAAAGGGTCAGGACCTCCTGGAGCACGGCAGGACAGGGGTTAAACTCTGCCTCAGCCCGGAGAATATAAAAATGAACTATAAATTACATTTGTACCTGTAGAAATTGGGATTAACTCAACAAAACCAAACAGCAGATGGGAATCCTGCCCGAATACGCATGCAGAGCTGCTTCTGAAGTGGGATGATATTAATTCTCTTTTCCATGATGATTCCTGCCAGCAGAACCACGAGCTGGCTGCGGCAGGGCCGTGGGGGCTCCCGGAGCTGTCGGGGTGTTTCCCTTGGCTCCGGGAGCACGGCGAGGATGTTTGTGTTGGAAGGGCTGCAGAGCTGCGAGGTTTCACCTTGGAGTGCTTCATTTTAGAGCTGAGCGTTTAAGGAACGATTTCTCCCGGCTGAATTGAGACATCCCAGCGCTTCCAGGAGGCGGGAGCACCCCAGTGAGGATTTTCCACCTTTGGCCTGAGGACTTTTGGGGTTTTTCTCCCTCTGCCCGGCTGCAGGGGAGCACGCAGCTTTTGAAGCTCTGTGCCATCGGGGTTGCCACCCAAACGCTGGGAATTCAGCTTTTTAGCAGGATGTCATTTGTGTCTGTTTGAGTTTTAACTAAAACAAAATTACCAACGAGGCAACAGGCGGTGTCCTGGTGGGAATGACAGCAGGGTGAGCTGGGAGCTGCTCACTGCCTGCCAAATTCCCCGTGGGAATGGGATGCCAGCCCCTCTCCCTGGCTCAGGCTTTGGCACAGCAGTGGGGAAGCCCTTGGGCCTTCCCTTTCTGTCTGTTTTTGTGCAGCTTCGGTGTCCTCAGGCCCTTCTGCGTTTGCAGGAGCCTTCCAAAGCTTCTCTTTTGAAGGAGCAACAAATTGTGTTTCATTGTGGGTGTTTGATTGCAGAATCACCATTCCCCCTAATCTGAGGCACTCCAACAGTGAAGCACTTGGGGAGGGGGTGCTTGTCGGTCTGGCCAGCTCCCTTTTTTGGGAAATGATGATGTTAAAGCTTAAAACAAGCCCTGGGGTGGCTTCAAACCGCTGTCACCTCTGTGGCAGAACAGCCCAGACCACGGTGCCACAAACCCGGGGGAGCTGCCCAGACTTTCACCCCCGAAAACCCAAATTTCTGTTTTATTGGAGAGGGTTTGAGGGCAGTCCAACCTCAGTCACTAAAACACACTCCTTCCTGTGACCTGGTTTCACCAAAAAACTCACAGTCCAATCCCTGAAACACCTTCCTGTGGTTAAAGTAAATG